AAGGTTTCCTCCAGAGGGGACTTCATGGTCTCATTAAAAAAAACAAGTCACATAAAGGTGTGATTTTAGTTTGGACTATATTTTCTTTTTTTAAAAATTTTAACTATTTACATTTTTTATTTTAACTATTTACCATTGACTATTTACATATGGTAGTATATATGTTTCTATGCTATTCTTTCCATTTGTCCCACCCTCTGCTTCCTACCATCCCTCATGTCCATAAGTCTGTTCTCTATGTCTGCATCTTCAATGCTGCCCTGCAAGTAGATTCATCAGTATCATCTTTCTAGAGTCCATATATATGTGTTAATACAATATTTTGAAAACTCATCAGTTTTTAAATGTTAGCAAATAACTAGAAGTTTTTCAGACATCTTTGTGTAGGCTGCCAAGGGTAGGTTGGATTCCCAGTTGTTTATTCATACCCTTGAGTCTACAAGACGTAGAGTTTATTTCCCTGTTCCACTGATGCTGGATTGTCCTTGAGACTTGTGTTGGCCAATGGACCCAATGTGAGCAAGTGTGTGTCTGTGAGATTTGGCTTCTCTTCTTTCACTTCTTTCAGAATCTGCCAAGAAAAGTGTGTGCTCTGAAGACTGCCTGTCCTAGATAGAGACCTGAGGGGCAGACCTGAGGCAGAGTTGTTCCAGGTGATCCACAGTCCCATCAGGGAGAAAAACAAAATCTTTCTGGTCATCGGCTGCTGAGATTTGGAGGTTATTACAGAGCAAAACCCAACTTATGCTCTACCATTGTGAGACCACTCAGGGAAAGGACCTAACAAGTGGCTGACACGTAGTGTGTACTTGAGAAATGGTTGCCCTTGGAATTATTCTGGGCCTGACAAATCTCCTGGGCCTAACAAATCATTTAAGTTAGGTGTAAGCCAGTGTTTTGTAAAATGTTTTGTGCCGACTTGACCTCTGAGAAACTTGAACAAGCCCATCTCTGCTACCTCTCATCTCTTATGTACCCACGAGGGTAAATGTCACTACGTAGTGCCATAGAATGACAGATTGCAACATAAAGGGAAAATGCATGGTAAGCAGTGGTTTCATGATCTCTTGCTTGGGAATTTTTAACTTGTCTGTTTCGATACGTATGATAGAGTTTAGATATTAAGGATTCAGATGGAAATGATTAAACCACTCAGTCCTAGAAAAGTCTAGCAGGACAGTGAAAGGTATTTAATAACAGAAACAAAAACTTTTCAGGACAGAGCCAAGGCACAAGCAAGAACCAAGTGCTCATGAATCCCAGAGGGGACAACGGACGCTGACCAGAGTTGGGGAGTCATCTCAGGGGCCAGGAGAAGCAAACTGGGCCTTTAAGAGTGAATAGATTTGGGGACTGCCCTGGTGGTCCAGTGGTTAAGAATCCACCTGTCAAGGCAGAGAACATGGGTTCGACCCCTGATTTGAGAAGACCTCACATGCCAGGGAGCTACTAAGCCCAAGCGCCTCAGCTACTGAGCCTGCACGCCAAGAGCCCACACTCGGGAACAAGAGAAACCACTGCAATGGAAAGCCCACCCACTATGACAAAGGCCAGTGCAGCCAAAAATAATTGATTAATTAAAACAAAAAAGGAAAAATAGAATATAGTTGTTTAAAAAAAAAAGGATGGGGTAGCTCTGGTTATGTAAAAAGGTGGGGGTGGCATTCTAAGCGGGAGAAACATATGCAAAGACGTGTCTGACGTGAGCACTTAAGTGTATTCAGACAACAAAAGGGAGTGTGGATAGATGATGGTCAGGCACCAGTGGGAAGGGGCTAAGGACACAGTGTCAGGAAAGCAAGGACCAGCCTGTGAACTGTGTTGGATGCTATAGAGGTTTGTTTCCAAACATGGCCGCCTGCAGTTTCCCTCCTTGTTGGAGGCACCTTGCTACTTACCCATCCCAGAGGGAAGTCTGGGTCTTTGCACATTGCATCTGGCCTGCCTTGATGGACAGTGCAGAAAAGTGGTGGTGTTTCAGTTCTAGGCACTGGCAGTTTGCTTCTCCTCCCCTGGGAACCCAACCTTCTCTCTGTGAAAGCCCCATGGAGAGGCTGTACAGGAAGGCACTCCGTTCAACAGCCCTAAATCCCACCCTAATCGCCAGCTATGTGACTGCGCCATCTTGAATGTCCAGCCTAGCCAAACCTCTGATGACGCCATCTCCAACCAACGTCTGTGCCCCTAGGTGCAGACCGCCTGACCATTGAGCTCTCAGAAGGTTAACTGGTAATAATAAATTGCCTCTTGAGTCTCCGGGTTTGGGGTCAATCAGCTGTGTAGCAATAGATAAGTGGAACAGACGTCAAACAAATTGCCCCAGAAATCATCTGTGATGACTGCAGGTTGGTGACTTTAAAGAACTGATAAAAGGAAACCTGAGATGATGAGGTGGGCGGAGGATAAGCTAGCAGTTCTCTTACCCTAGTGGCGAAGTTTCAATTACAGTAGCTGTTTCCCTCAATTTCCTTTAGCTCTGTTGCTACTCTGCTGCACATTTTCCTCCCAATGCTAATGTTGTAAGGAAACAATGTGATGCTCTAGAGAGAACTACAAACCCTAGAGGCTTTGTAGTCAAGGGAGATGCAGAAACAAATTCCACCGATGTCACCCATGAGCTCTGAGATGGAGCAAGTCACTTACCGAAGCAGACGGTTGCTGCCCTTTCGGGACTGGCCTACCCGTGCCGAGATGCCAAGACTGTGGCCTTCCAGTTGATCTCTCCTCTGCAGGACAGCCCTTGGCTGATGGGGGCCCATCTTATTCTGAAGACACTGCCTCCCACACACCCTGGGAGTGGCCCCAGCCGATGACTGACCGCTACAGCTGTACAGAAATCTGGCCGCTGAGTTGCAAGGGTTAGATAACTCTGCGCCCCAAGCCTTCCCCTGCACCATGGACCAGGCTCAGCAAGTCGGCTTTCTGAGTTCCCATCTTTCCTAGCTCTTTCCTCTTTCCCATCTTCCCCCCTCCAATCCCTTAAAGATTTTTTTTTTTAACTGTGAAGATCCCCTCAGTAACTCTGTGCCCCAAATTCTGGTCTAGGGTTCTGCTTCTGGGAATCTCAACCTAAGAGACACTCTCCCTTCTCTTCTCTTTTTCAAGCCCCTCTTTTCGAGAACTGGCTGAGATGATCTATTACTATGGCTTGGCACTTTATACATACCCAGTTAATGCTAACAGATTTCTTCTCTCATCTTTCTCACTCGAACAGAGTAGACAAATGCGACGAGAGTTCTTGAGACCCAAAGTCCTCAAATGAGTTTTCCGTAATATTTGTATAATAAGCTTTTTAGAAAAACAGGCAAGTGGGAGCACTGGTTTATAAAAAATGGGGAAATGGAGGCCTACTTGGTGGAGCTGTGAGGATTACCTGAAATAAAGTCTCCTCTGTCCATGGGATTTCCCAGGCAAGAATACTGGAGTGGGTTGCCATTCCCTTCTCCAGGGGATCTTCCCGACCCAGGGATAGAATCTGGGTATCCTGCATTACAGACAGATCCTTCACTGTCTGAGCTCTCAGGGAAGCCTGAAGTAATGTCAACGGACCTTAAATTGAGATGTTTGGAACAGAGCAAGCACTCAGTGAGTGGAAGCTGCTGCCCTTGTATTGACCAACCATAGGGAGCCAGGTCAATGCTTGTTTTCCAATCCCTGTGTCTGCGGCCAGCAGAGTGGCCAGCACAGAGAAGGCACCTCTGCATTTGCCCAGGTAAACTGCAGTGAGTGTGGGAGAAACTGTACTTTATAAGGATGAGCCATTTTCACAGCCCTACTCCATGTGGGATTTGGGTCATAAATCCATGCTCAGTACGTCTCATCATCATGGGCAGATTTCTCTGCCAGCATCACAGATACGCAGACTCCTTTGCTTTGGTCGTTAACACAGTTTATTATTGGCACACTTATCAGTAAAGCATACATAAAATACAGCTGTTTTATAACACACGAGCCACTGTGTCTTTACATGTATAGAGGAACATATTAATATGCAAATGGAAAAATTAGTTCTTTTATAAAGTTTCACATAAATACACTGGAATTGCCCCCAAAGAAAAGTCCCCATAAAAGAACCAGGTGAGGGCTTTACAAAATATTATACAGGAAATATACTATGAAGAGAAACAACAGTCAACTCAGATACAATAAAAAAAAAAAAAGAAACCCAAAAGTTTCAGATTTATTAAACTGCCCACAAAATTAACGGATTACATGGCTTGAAATATTTGGATCAACAGCAATTTTACAAACGAATACATTCTCAAGGGGCCAGGTGCCTTTCTTTACATAAAAATCTGCCTTGGTGTCTCTGATAACAAAAAGACATTTCTTGTTTCTGCACTCGGGCTCGACTGAACCAACTTGGGCTCGAGGACCAACTGACATTAGCTTGGCCATAAATTACCCCGCTGGGCCCTCTTCGCTGTTACCCAAAGAAAGAAAAGGTGAAGGAGAAAAAAAAAATAATAAAGGTACGTTTAAATTACTTTCCAAAAGCGGATTTTTTTTCCTTTTCTTTTTTTACTGAAACAAGAAACTCTCAGATGCAAGTCAAAAAGCAGAAAATATTTTACAATATTAAAAAGTCATCTGTAGTTGGATTCGGCATAGAATGGGATCCTGAGCACTGAGGGTCTACTGACAACATGGCCTTCGTTGGATGGTTGGATGCGGGGTTGGCGAAAGGAAATTAACAAACAAGGTTCAAACTGAGCCAGGAGAAGCGCTAGCATTTGCTCTTGTTTTAATTATGATCAGTGCCAGTATCTGTGTTACCTGTGAAGGCCTCCAGGGAGGGGTCATGGACGTTTATTTGGAATGGTCCTCTCAATTTAAAAAAAAAAAAAGGAAGAAAGAAACTCAGATCATTGTGGTTTAGAGATCAGTATTTGCGTGGCAAAGTTTTAATGTCTGCTCCTTCCTCTCCTGTAAGTAAGGATCTGAAATAGTGAGCGTGACCCACGGGGGCTATGGACAGTGGATTCTGGAGCCGGTCACTCTTACTGGGAAGCCTGGGGCGGGGGGTTCTCTGATTTGGTCTCTTGAGTGGCCGGAGGTTTACTGCTCCATGGGCTGCTGTTCCCCAGGGCGGGTGAATTGGTGAAGTCTTCCTCGTCGTCCATGCCGTTGGCCGCATCATACTGCGTGTTTTCTAATCTAGTGATTAGCCTTTCGTCCTCGTCCCCAAACTCACCTCCCATCAGAGTTGGCTCTCCTACCACCATCACATCCTGTGAACAGCAGCTGACATTATTACAGGGAACCTTGGAAGAGAGAAGCCCACTTAAAACACTCGCGGGAGGAGGCGCTGGGGGACCCGGGTCAGACACACCGTGTCCTGTAACACCGGGGCCAAGTCTCAGTGGCGGGGGGGCCGAGGCGCATATTGGATTTCTACAGGAAATAAAGATCGCCTCCTGACGGGAAACAACCACGCGAGTTTATGTCCTGAGTGTGCGGCCTGACACCGGAGAACGAGCAATGCTAGCAATCTGCAGAAATAAAAAAATGGATTTTTCAAAATTAAAAAAATCCACGCTTTGCAACTTGCCGACACTGGGGACTCTTGAGAGGGCAGTGGGCGCTCTGCGAGACCTCGGAAATGCCACCACTCTTACTGAGGGTCTCGGGGCGGCTTTGCAAACTACTGAGAAAGCAGCCAACGCCGGGGAGGACGCGGTTCTGCCGCATTCGTGCAACTCATTCCGAACAGCACTTTCTCTGTCCCACGGACGGTATATGTTTTAATTGAAGACAGATCTCTCTTTTTTCCTACTCAGCCAGGCCCTTTTATGCAGCCAACATCCTTGACATTCTGCTACTTAATTATGGTAATTAATTTAGGTAAAGTTTTCGATAAAAACAATGTTCACACTGATTTGACAATTTGCATAGCTAATTAAGTCATTAGCAAAAACCTGCTGATTGCCAACAAGCCCTGAATTTACCATCTGTTATTCCGTGGTGCCTGTCACCTATCCCCACACAGGCAACCCCACCACCAATCTGGGCAGTAAAGAGAACCAGTCTGTCCAGCTGGTGCCATTAAAGGAAGACGAAGAGAACTAATGATAATTACATCGATGAAGCTGGTCGTCATCAGAGATGCAAGTGTGCAAGAAGAATCCATCTAATCACTCCTTTAAGTACAAACTGTCCTTCCATGCAAACAAGGAAGGCACCTCCTAGAGCTGGGAGCTTGGCAGAGGCCACCGCTGCAGAAGCTCGAGGACAGGGGAGAGGAAAGCGGCTCTGGCCTCCGTGTTCCAAGGGGGCCCTATTGGCCCGATGGCTGACCTGGGCACGGCACGGGGCGTCCGTCAGGTGGATCCTGCTCTGCCAGCTCCGAGCAACCATCTACTTAGGAGTGACCGCCTGCCCTCGGCCTCGGCTGAAGCCGAAACATCAGGGCCAGCCAGATGCTTTTGGAGATGTAAGTATGCATTTGCTGACATGGATGCGAATTTGCCTTGACAACTGGGCAAATGTTCTTTCCACGGGGGCAAGAGAGGCTGCCTGGGGCAGTCTATGAGTGGACCACTGCCTGTGGTCAGGAGAAAGGTCCAGCTGTCCCTCCAGGGCCCTTTTCGAATTTTGAAGGTGCCCGTGAACTAATCCCTTTGTGACCACCTGGTTTGTTTGGGAATGGAAAACCTTTTGTCGGATAGATCGATTCCCCTTGAATTAGAGGGAAGATAATGAATAGGTTTCACACTGTGCTTTCAGACTAATCAATCACTCTTGTGAAATGATAACAAGGATGTTAAAGAGAAATGTCCCAGATGAAGTAAATGGCTCAAAGGTGACCTGAGTAGACTCAGCCATTGAGGTGCCGGCAGGGTATTCAATTGTGAGTCCCTAAGAATGTCCTCATGATGCCACCAAGAGCTAGACGTGACACTGACGTATAAGAGACTCACAAGGACTCTTGAAATGAGATGCAAAATAGACACAGACTTCGAGTGTCAAGAAAGACGATAGGACGTTAGATGGAAAGGGGCTTCCACCTGATCCCTTGGGGTGTTGGGGACACAAAAAGTGCCCCTTCACTGCAGGCCATTGGGAGACTGTGCTTACGGTCAGGAGAAAAGGCAGGAGGCAAGACCAGGTTAAGATGCAGCAGAGCGCCACATAAGAGAGAATCCCGTCTTGTGACTTCGGTGCAGCACCCTTTGAAGAGCTGGGAAAACACAGGCGTTAGGTGTCACAGGGCAGGAGAAGAATGTTAGAACCAACGTGTGGGTCTGCATTTGTACTGTGAGTCCAAGGTCAGCCAGAGAGGCTGGGGGAATGGGAGGAAGTAAGCATAATTCAGAAACAGGAGAAGCTGACTTAAAAGTGATATTAGCAAAGAAGTTCCCAACACTCCAGATGCCTTCACAGTATCAGCAAACAACAGCCATTCCAGAAAAGTTCTATGAAAATAGTGATTTGAATCTCTTCAAATGGGGCTCATATAGCCTTCTAGTATGTTTGGTATATCTTTGTTCCAGGAACAACTGGAAAAGATGCCCAGGCATAGATATTTTTGAGCATCTGAAATTTCAGAGAGATGCCATGTTTGCCTTACTGATTATAAAACATATCCTTAGCCAGATGCATAATCGTGGGTGTACCTACATGAGTATGTGTACACGTGTGTGCATGTGTGAGTGATGAATAGATGGCAAGTTATAATAAAACAGACATGTGCTAAGGACTTCGTATGCACCTAGAGGCTTGAGGACTGTTACACAATTATGCACAGGACTCTCGCTGGCTCTGCTAAACCTCCAGGCTAGGACATGGGTTCGCCACTCAGGTGGGCTTGACTTGCTATCTTCACGAAATGAGTGGAGACATAAGGCACATTTTGCATGCATGCTCGATCACTTCACTTGTGTCTTATTCTTTGCGACTCCATGGAATGCAGCCCGCCAGGCTCCTCTGTCCATGGGATTCTCCAGGCAAGAATACTGGAGTGGACTGTCATTTCCAGAATTCTCCAGGGGATCGTCCCAACCCAGGGATCGAACCCTCATCTCTTTTGTCTCCTACATTGTCAGCTGAGTTCTTTACCACTAGCACCACCTGGGAAGCCCAAGGCACATTTGGGGCTCCTTCTAATGGGGTATTGGCATCGTTTTCCCCACACTCCCACATCTTTAAAAATCTCCACCCCCCTCCCCACCGCATCATTCAACATCTGCAGTGAGAGCTGCATTTCCTGCCCTGTCTTGTGGGGACCCCCCACCACCACAAACAGAAGGCAATATTGGTCCACCTGAGAGTAACCCATGTGGTCTCAACTCCCTGCGAGGCAGACTCCTCTGCTCCTTGCTGGAGACCCTGGGATGCCACCAGCTGGTGCCCCTGTTACATCTTCTCACTAAGCCCCCCAGTGAGGACCACCAACCTCTGAGCAGGACTGGGAGGGACTCCTTTTAGGGCTCCTCCATGCTTCTTCTTAAACTGGCCAGCAGGGGTCACTGCTGTGGACTGACATAGGTCTCCATCCCTCCCAGGGCTGAGGCTGCGGTTCGGGGTCGCTCCTAGCCCCTGCTCATGGAGTGAGAAGCAGAAGCCTAGGATTAAACCCGAGTCCTTGCCGGACACACACGCTGCCGTCTGGCCATAACACACACCCCTGTCCGTGCCTTCAGACAGGGCAGCTGAGGCCAGCAAGTGGCATTTCTAGTTAAACAGGAACAGGGTGTGGGTGACTCAGGACACAGGGCTGAAAGGTGTGACCCTTACAAGCCAGTGGGTGCTTATCATCTGACATCCAACCAGCCGGGGGACCTACAGGAATGGACACGTTTGCCTAGCCTGGACGACTTCCCTGTTTCTCTCGGCCATTTCTAAGTTTCACTTAATGAACATCTCCTTCATTGCACGGTGAGGATACTACTAACATTCTTCCTGCATTTTCTAATGGTGCCTTGCTCTTGTCCGAAGGGTCTCAACTCATTAAAAACCGTCTCAGTACTCTTGCCTGGAAAATCCCATGGATGGAGGAGACTGGTGGGCTGCGGTCCATGGGGTCGCTAAGAGTCGGACATGACTGAGCGACTTCACTTTCACTTTTCACTTTCATGCATTGGAGAAGGAAATGGCAACCCGCTCCAGTGTTCTTGCCTGGAGAATCCCAGGGACGGGGGAGCCTGGTGGGCTGCCATCTATGGGGTCGCACAGAGTCAGACACGACTGAAGTGACTTAGCAGCAGCAGCAACATAGGTATCTTCCAGCAAAATGCAATGGTTGGTTGGGAGGACAAGAATGTAACGGAGTAGAAAAAGTTAGGTGCTCTTTAAAAAAATTGCAATGCTTCTGACTAGGCCCAGGTATGCTAAAATACACGGACAGGTAGCTGCTATTCTGTACCCATGGCAGACATCACTAATGGATGGCCTACCATGCCCAGTTCAGGCTTAGAATCTTTCTGGACACCCTACCCTGAGAGTTGACCCCAGGAGACTGAGTTGGCAGGAAAGAAGAAGCCTCTTCATCATCCCTCTTTTAAATAGTGAGCTCTTAAAAAAAAAAAAAATAGTGAGCTCTTCAATGACAGAGCTTGGGCATCTTTTGGCCTTTTTAAAAAAATTATTTTAAATCTTGGGATTTTCAACACCTGGCACAGTGTAGGGCACACAATAGGAGCTCAGAAAATGCTTGATGAACTGCTCTGAATTCTTGCAGTCCCTGTGCCTCTAAGTAGCTACATCAGAGTTTCAGAAATCTCTGGAATGTACTTTCAATTGTTTGTGGAAAGTAACAAGCTTTAGTTTCTAAAACTCTCGGGTTAAATGAATAAATAGGCTACTTGTGTATGCTTTGGGGGCTGATTTATGTACACCTGGCCATTTTTTTTTTGTATGCATTTTCCATTTAACTAGCTGTGGGTATAACTTACTGGCACCTTAATAAGAAGACTGCTTTTCTCCTTTCATTTCCACCCCCCTCACTCTTCAGGGATGCTAGCCCAGTTCAAAAAACAGAGGTGACTCTGGTATTATCTAAAGACTGAAATTCTTAACCTCTTGAAATTAAAATGACACCTACCCCACAGGCTGGCCACTGTCTTGTGACCCTTTCTTTTTAATGTACTGGGGAATGATGACCATACCCTCTGTCTGTGGAGGATAGGAGGAGAGGCCGGGTAATTCTCAGATGCGCTGATGGGGTTGGGTTTAGCCGAAGAGAACTGACCAATGGGATGTGGGGGCAAGTGGGTGGGTAGGGGACAGATTTGAAAGCCACATTTAGAAGTAAGCGGAGAACCTTCTGGAAAGGATGGTCCACTCTCACACGGACAGGAGACAGAGCAGGATCAGAACCTGGAGGAGGCGGGCCACAGCCCAAGAGGGGAGACGAGTGAGAAAGAGGGGAGAGGTAAAAACCTGCACTGGAGGACGAGGGCGGCTACAAGAAAGGGCACACTCTCAAAGACACAGGGTCCAGAGGGCACCTCTGCGGCACACGAGAATCCCCAGGATGGAGGCAAGGACAGTCGAAAGCCCGGTGAGGTGACGTACCAAGGTTTGCAGGGAAGGAAAACCCGCAGTTCACTGAAGAGGCAAGACGTGCTTCAAGGAACGTGAGAATTTATCAATGAAAGCAGTACGTGGTCTAATTCTGGGATGAGGAATTCAGAGTCCAGAAGAAATCAGGAGGAAGGGAGAGGATTGCGGAAGAGATCAAGAGGAGAGGAAGAAAGTTCTTGTCTGGGGACACCCTCGGCTATCAGTCTCAGAGTTCAAAGAAGCCCCCTTCTGAGCAGCCCATTTCCTTCCTCAAGACCCAGAACTGAAAGAAAAGGGTCAAGAGGTCAAGAGAGTTGAGCCCAAACCTGGGGCTGAAACTCCCCCTAAGCTAGTGAAACAGGGTAAGCGAAAGCCACTGAGCTGCCCTGGCCTTGAGTTAATTACTTGAGTCTTAAAATAAGGGGAGATGCCCATGTCTGGGGCTGGGAGGCGCTGGGGACAGCCGAATGACAATCTGGAGTCTGAGTGCCAGGAGCTAGCTTTCCAGTGGAACACGGGGTCCCGGCGATGGTGCTCAGAGCCCCTCATCTGCCACCAGGCACATCGCTCAGTGATATTTTAATTAAACCTTAGGTGACATGTCCCCTGTCTGCGACTCTGACGGCATTTTCATTCCTGCCCCGCTGCAGCACAGACTCTGCGAATTGCTTTCTAGGTCCCAGTTTGCAGGGGCTGGTTTTCAGGACAGAGTCCTTCCCCCTTCCTCCCAAGTCCTGTCCCTGCCTGCCGCTTCCCCCACCCTACCTCCCGCCCGCCCGGTCCAGAAGGTCTCTGCAGCTAAGAGTCTTTCCTGCGGGGGCCCCCCTGGAATTGGGAGACGGCAAAGGCGGGAATTGCAGCCTACAAGCAAAGCGAGACTTACAGGTACCTGACTGGACAGACTCAGGTTGGCGGCCGCGGTCTTCTTCTTGCTGCCGGCGCTGTTGGCGGCGTTGCCTGCGCTGCTGTTGGAGGTGCTGCTGGTGGAGTTTTTCCGTTTCCTTCGTTTGGTCGTCGGTTGCCTGGCGGGTTCTGCTGCAATACGGAGCAGGGAGGCAGGTCAGCTCCCGGGCGCGCGCCGCCGGCCCGCCAGGACGCCGTTTTCGGAAAGTGAAAACACTAGACTGTCGACACTTTTTCCCCACCCCGGTTTCTTTTAACTTGACTAAACACAAAAAGGAGAGAACTGACGATCTAGTTTTAGCACAAATGATGGAATTTCTTCTCTTTAACATGTCTATAAAATGATTTGCATTTAATTGTTCTTTCTGATTTAAATGTTCTTTCTGAGCATGTCTCGTGCTCAGTCATGTCCCACTCTTTGTGACCCCTTGGACTCGAGCCCGCCAGGCCCCTCTGTCCATGGGATTTTCCAGGCAAGAACACTAAAGTGAGTTGCCATTTCCTACTCCAGGGGCTCTTTCTGACCCAGGGATTGAACCTGAGTCTCCCTCTTCTGCATTGGCAGGTGGATTCTTCACCACTAGCACCGCCTTGGAAGCCCATCTATGTGTCTGGGATCTATGAATAAGTCTTAGGGGTGACTTATACCCCTATCACAATTTGAACTTAAAATATTATTACCACTATGAATTTTGAGAAAAATTTTTTATGGCCTACCTTTTCTTTATAATAAAAGGAGGGCTCTGAGAATCTGCCTGTAATGAGGAGACTTGGGTTTGATTCCTGGGTTGGGAAGATCCTCTTGGAGAAGGGAAAGGCTACCCACTCCAGTATTGTGGCCTGGAGAATCCATGTACAGTCCATGGGGTTGCAGAGTTGGACACGACTGAGAAACTTTCACACTATTCAGACTGAGATTCCTAGGGAGCCTCCAAGGCCTGAGAAAAGTGTGTTTGTGTGTGTGTGTGCATGCACACAGACACTCAGTTGTGTCTGGCTCTTTGTAACCCCAGGGACTGCAGCCCACCAGGCTCCTCTGTCCATGGAATTTTCCGGACAAGAATACTGGAGTGGAAAAAAAAAAAAAGAATACTGGAGTGGGTTACCATTTCCTACTCCAGGGACCTTCCCGACCCAGAGATGAAACTTGCAACTCTTGCATAGGCAGGTGCATTTTTTACCACTAGCACCACTTGCGTGAACTTAGTTCTATTAGGGACCCACTGAGTAAGTGCAGCACCTACTGGCCAAGTGTCATATTGCAGCCAAGCTCTGCTACACCTTGGGATGCTTAAGTAAGAAGTGTCCATCCAACCAGCCATTGATGCGGGACTTACGGATTCCCAAGCCTAGTGTTTAAAGAATGCAAGTAACTGGAAAATTCCTGTGGGGAATATGTCTTAATATGCTATAATCAATATATTAATGAAAGGAAACTAGACCTCTTCCAGAAGATTTATAAATTTTCTTTTTGAACCTGAAGGATGAGGCAAGATCTTATTGGAAGTGTACAGACTTATGGAAATGTGTAGTAAGAAGAATTTCATTTATTTATTATGTATTATGAGCATGACTCATTCTTTTCATATTCTTAACATTTTTGGTCATTATTTTATATTCATAGCACCTCTATTAATTAGGTACTATTATAATCTTTGCTTTAAGAATGACAAACTTTCAGAAGACTGTTCCAGGCCCTTACTGGAAATGCTATGTAAGAGCATCATTTGCTAACCCTATTCTAGATCCAGCCCTGATGGAGAGAAGGTAAGTTAGGGCCATACTGGAACTAAGTGAGGGGACCTTTGGCATTTTCTTGAGACATCTTTGCTGCTTCTAGTGGACAATGGGGTGAGTTTGTTTTAAGGCTCATTTCAAAGACTACTTGGTCCATCATGTTATTCCTGACTTTTGATGAAGCAGTAGAAGGTTTCTATTTGGATACTGTTTTTTCTTTCATAAGTATTTTCATCTTAATGTCTGAAGATATTCATCAACAGAGGCCTAACATCCCTATCCATGGAGAGTTATGGGTGCTTATTCTGAAGGTTATGGAAACAGAAAACAGAACTGTTCCAGCTTAGGCAGCTGGAGGTGAGTTGAGTGGTACAGTCTAAAGTTAAGCAGATACCCCAGTCTTCCCTGACCAGAACCTTCTTCCTTGGACTTGAATTGAAATCTGCTGCTTTTTATTAAAAAAAAAAATTGTAGTTTTTAATGGAATTTTGGGAAAATATGCCTAAAATGTATGCTCTGTGTGGCTCCCACTGCCTGTAGGTAGCTGTAGGAATAGAGTCATGAACTGAAGACATAAAAACTTATTGTGACGTAGTCTCCATTGATTTAGCCTTGCACTAACTTTGGCAAGTTCTGCTTTAAATCTCAGGCCTATTATATCGAATGGGAATAACAAGAAATATCTCATACCTCACAATAACCCTAGTGAGGATTCAATAAAAAAAAAAGGAAAGGTCTGAGAGACTGTGACTTGTGACTGTTTTCATGCCATGCTATAAGCAGAGTGGCTTGACCAGTGCCTGGCATCTCGTAGGGGCTTGATAAATAGTTGTTGAGTTAATGACTGAATTAATGGATAATATATGAATTATGGGGCTTCCCTGGTGGCTCAGATGGTAAAGAATCTGCCTGCAATGCAGGAGGCCCCGGTTCAATCCCTGGGTCAGGGAGATCCCCTGGAGAAGGGAATGGCAACCCACTCCAGTGTTCTTGCCTGGAAAACCCTATGGACAGAGGAGCTTGGTGGGTGACAGTCCATGGGGTCACAAAGAGTTAGAGATGACTGAATGATAACACACACACACACACACACACACACACACACACATGTCATATGAATTACATGTGCATACATCAGGAAATAGAAGTCTTCAAGACCTGTAGTGAGTGAAATTTTTTCCCCATAAAACCTTATTGCTATTGAAAGAGAAAATAAGGCCAATTTAAGCACATTTAATATCTTTGAAAAATGATGTTCTAAATGTCGAAAATTCCCCTAAGATGGGGATGCAACTATTCTATATAAAGTAATGCTCATTTTCCCAGCTTTCTAAACATGTACTTGATTATATTGACTATATTCTCTTTATTTAAAACCCCTGGCCAATTACCAGTGGAAGGTGACAATTATATTTCATGATTCAGAAAGCTATGTCCCTCTTGTTAATAATTACTCTTCATAAAAATAATTTTTAGCGAATGGATACATTTTGCTTTTATGATCAATGAGGCTCAGCACACGCCTGGGAGTGAAAATGTATTAGATAGAAAGACAATTAATGATGACTCGAAGCAGTAATTTCAGAACCCCAGCAGGAGACTACAGTATCTAAACTGCATCCTAGGGAAGTGAGAGAAATGGGGTCTTTTATGTATTCTTTTCATGATCAGAGTACCCTTTGATATTACATATCTTTAAAAATGGCAAAACTTTCTCCCTCCCTCCTTCCCTTTCTTCCTCCATCTATTCCTTCCCCCTCCCTCCCTCCCTTCTTCCTGTTTTCTGCCCACTCCCCCATTCTTCCTTTCTTCTTCCTTCTCCCCTTTCTTTTTCTAATTTCGATCATTCTTCAAAGGACAAAGAAAACTAAAGTAAGCCATCAGCGGTCACCAGTTTTGTCCAGTGGAACGCCCACTGGCCTGGGAGACAGTGAACCTTGGTTCTCATCTCGGCTTTATCAACATCTTCTCGGTAACATTAAAGAAATGAATTTCCTTCTGTGAATTTCAGGTCCTCCTAAATCTAGCAAGTGAGGAGACTGTGGAGCACGGTCACTACATTGAAGAAGAATGCTTGCCCTTCACCAACTCAGTGTCTTTGGATCCAACATCATGGTCAGAACATTCCTTATAAACTACTTTGCCTGATACATTTACAATCACTCCTGTTTCCTCTCCCTTCATCCCCAGAAGAAGCCTCAGAAAAAGCATGTAGATGGAGAATGAAGAGCGAGGTCTTACCTGGCGGTGCCACCATCCGCTGCCACTTCTGAAACAAGCAGGTCTTCAGGCAGTCTCGCGGACTGAGGTTGTAAGTTTTATGTCTGGACATCAGTTCTTGCATTGGCTCCAGTATTACACACAACTGCAAGGAGTTCAAAGACATCAGTGTTTCACTACTTGATAATATTATTTGCAATAAATAATATTAACAGCCGGAATCCATTTAGAAGCGTAAAGACACTTTTCTTCCCCCCCTCCCCACCAGTTTTTATTTTTTTCTGGTTAAGTGTGGAGGAAAAGAAATATTACCCACACTTGATAATGCTCACTCTCTTTACTATCATTTATAATATCATATTACAGCTGAGTGTGATTTATACCTACACACACATATTTACCCACATATTCTATACTGATGGTTGGGTGGATATACGCAGTTATATTCTGAAATGAAGTGATTCTCTCTGGTTAAAGAAAAAAGCTCTTTCATATAGCACAGCATGCTCAGATTTCTACGCTAATTTCTGTTGTTTTTCCTGTTTGCATAACCACACACTGTGAGTTACAATGGCAGTTTATGTAGATTTTGTGTCAGTGAAAGCATCATTCAAGCTTTTGAGAACAAAGTGGTAACTTCAAGTACGTTTTTTGATCCTAATTCTTATAAAAAACCGTGATGAACATGACTTCATTTTTATCCATGGACTCATTTGTATTTTACACAAGATGTGAAAATTAGTAACGTATATACTCCCACATATATCCAGTGTGGGGTTTTTGCTCTGGTTCTGTACGTAGCCACCCTTCTTGCCTCCTTTAGTTAGACCTTTCAGCTCTACTGCAGTCCAAGACATCTGACGACAAAGATTAATGTATGAAATAAGAAGGTAAATCCAGTTAGCATTGCCCTGGGCTTTTCTGAACTCCTTCTCAGTTGGAAGATCATCAGAACAGTGCTGCATTGAGAGAGCTGTTGCTAAGAGGGCAAAGACCACGAGTTGGAACAACGCATCGATTGCTGTTGCAACAACAGCAATACGAACCCTGGCAATGCACCAGTGCATGCATGTTAAGTCTCTTCGGTGTGTTTGATTCTTTGTGACTGCAAGGACTGTAGCCTGCCAGGCTCCTCTGTCCGTGGGATTTCCCAGGCAAGAATACTGGAGTGGGTTGCCATGCCCTACTCCAGGGGATCTTTCCAATCCAGGGATTGAAACTGCATCTCTTACATCTCCTGCACTGGCAGGCGGGTTCTTTACCACTAGTATCACCCAGAAAGCTCTGGCAATGCACCTAGCCATCCATGTGAAAAGACGTCATTCTATTATGAAAGACAGACGTTCAATCTCTGCCTTCATCTGCCCATCTTTTTTACTACCTCTTTCCCTTCTGTCGTGTCTGAGTATTTCCCTAGAGGCCACCCTTCTTATTGTCCACTGGGTTCCCTTGGCCCGGAATTCTTCACTCCTCTCCTCCTGGTTTACACCCACTCATCCTTGAAGGCAGAGTCCCTTCTTCTGTTACGCCTTCCTCCCCAGGACTGTGCACTTCTTCCCGTGTGGGCTGAGCTGAACACCTCTCCAGCTCTCCATAGCACAGAGCTCTTTCTGCTCTGTGAACTGACTTACATTTTGGAGCCATCAGCTTCCAAGTCCCTTCTCCACTTGACTTTGAACTCTTTGGATGCTGAAATGAGACTATGCCTTTTATCTCTGTGCTCCTAGACTTGGCTCAAATGAATGGGTGCATTGAAAGAGTGTTTCTCAGAAAGATGGGAGGACCTTTCTATGCCAATGTTCCTCAAAGTCTAAGGCACACTTCTATCAAAGTCAGATGAGTTGATTGTTAAAAATGCAGACTTCCGGGCTCTGCCTTTTCTGTTTTATGGAATCCGGAGATGGGACCCTGAATCTGCATTTAAAAAGAGCATTTCCTCATCTAATTCTGATAAGTATTACCCAAAGCTGAGAGCCACTGCCCTGCAAATGCTGGGTTTTAGCAGAAATAAATACAGAAGCAAGCCATGCACAGATCTCCAGGGGGTTCCTGTTCAAATTTCTTTGTCTTCTCACTGCCCTTCGCCACTTTCCCTCTTCTCAAGTCTAAGCATGATAATAAAAATTGTCTTCGTCTGGAAAAATTCCTTAGCCCTTCCTAGCTATCAATGACCTAAGCCAAACTCCACTAACTCAACTAACCCCACTCAAGGGCCAACTGTGATCTCCTTTCATTTGCAGTTTCTTTGGGAAAAGAGACTAAGATTTCAAAGCGTGAGTGACACAGCTACAGTGTGAGTCAAAGAGACAAAGTCACTAGTGCATCAGGCTGCAAAGTAATGAGATCTGGGTTATTTCCGACCCATCTTCAATCTTGTCTATCTTCTTGTTTACTTGAGAGTCCTTTTTGAAACCTTTTTGAAAAAATAGACTGGTTCCAAATTGGGACAGGAGTACATCAAGGCTGTATATTGTCACCCTGCTTATTTAACTTATATGCAGAGTACATCATGAGAAATGCCGGGCTGCATGAAGCACAAGCTGGAATCAAGGCTGCCGGGAGAAATATCAATAACCTCAGATACGTAGATGACACCACACTTATGGCAGAAAGTGAAGAGGAATTAAAAAGCCTCTTGATGAAAGTGAAAGAGGAGAGTGAAAAAGTTGACTTAAAACACAACATTCAAAAAACCAAGATCATAGCATCTGGTCCCATCACTTCATGGCAAATAGATGGGGAAACAATGGAAACAGTGAGACACTTTATTTTCTTGGGCTCCAAAGTTACTGCAGATGGTGACTATAGTCATGAAATTAAAAAACGCTTGCTCCTTGGAAGAAAAGCTATGACCAACCTAGACAGAATATTAAAAAGCAGAGACATTACTTTGCTGACAAATGTCCATCTAGTCAAAACTGTAATTTTTCCAGTAGTCATGTATGGATGTGAGAGTTGGGCTATAAAGAAAGCTGAGCACTGAAGAATTGATGCTTTTGAACTGTGGTCTTGAAGACTCTTGAAGAACAGACTTGTGGACTCTGGGAGAAGGCGAGGGTGGGAATGTTTCAAGAGAACAGCATCGAAACATGTATACTATCTAGGGTGAAACAGATCACCAGCCCAGGTTGGGTGCATGAGACAAGTGCTCGGGCCTGGTGCACTGGAAAGACCCAGAGGGATCGGGTGGAGAGGGAGGTGGGAGGGGGGACCAGGATGGGGAATACACGTAAATCCATGGCTAATTCATTTCAATGTATGACAAAAACCACTGCAATGATGTAAAGTAATTAGCCTCCAACTAATAAAAATAAATGGGAAAAAAAGAAAAAGAAAAAAAAAAAAAAAGAGTCCCTTGGACTGCAAAGAGATCCAACCAGTCCATCCTAAAGGAGATCAGTCCTGGGTGTTCATTGGAAGGACTGATGCTGAAGCTGAAACTCCAATACTTTGCCTACCCAATGTGAAGAACTAATTCATTGGAGAAGACCCTGATGCTGGGAAAGGTTGAAGGCAGGAGGAGAAGGGGATGACAGAGGATGAGATGGTTAGATGGCATCAGTGACTCAATGGACATGAGTTTGTGCAAGGTCCAAGAGTTGGTGATGGACAGGGAGGCCTGGCGTGCTGCAGTCCATGGGGTCACAAAGAGTCAGACATGACTGAGTGACTGAACTGAACTGAACTTGAAACCTAAAATGTTAATAAAGAAAAACCTGTGAAAGAGGTAGGGCTGCTATACATTTAAGTCTATATTCTAGTGTGTTTTCCTCTACTAATAATTCTTTACTGGAAATCAAAATATGTGTGCAAATTACAGACACCCTCAGCTCTTCCCCTGTCACTCATAGCAAACACAGGGAAAGGTTCTACATCCTCTCTCCACATAGAGATAAGACTGCATTATCCATCAAAGAACTACTATTAGCTTCAGACAGGGTCAGAAGATATTTGCATCTATTATTAAGCTGGAACAGTAAGAAAAGCTTTCAGAGAAATTCCAAGGATGGGGAAAACTTTTTCTTTTAATTAAAAAATGTAAAGATTTTAAAAACATTTCCTTGTGGTCAATTCCCATTCTTGAGAAATTGATTTACAGTGGATATAAAATTTCATGGATGGAGTGGAACAAACATGGACTTCAAAACTGAGAGGTCTAGGTATAATCTTATCTTTGGCTGAAACACTTAATAATGCTGACACTCGGTTTCACCTGTAAAACCATACATATCTCGGATATTTGAAAAAGTTGAGATGATATGCCTTGACACGTAAGTTCAACAAACAGTAGATATTACGATCATATATTAACAAGCACAGCACAGATTGCAAAACAAACCACATTTCTTTTACATTAAATCAATAAGCATTTACTGAGTTTCCTCCTAAGTCTCAGACACTCTGCTTAGGACATAATTATGAGAATGATATAATCTCGGTCCCCAAAATTCAGTCCCTTAAAAATGATTTTAAGTATATTAAGAACACTACCCTATGTTTGCACTTCAAGCTGCTTAGAAAATCACATCTTCCTGAAGCAAATATTTTCATGATTACAAGTTAGATGGCAAATATTTTTATTATATGACATGTTACCTATCTGGACCTGGAATGGGTGGTCGGCGTTGAACATACTAAGGAATGGAAGAGTTGCATTTATCGTGAGAACTCAGGAGCTCATTTTCTCTTTCTTTTCCCCCCTTTCCTCTTGGGTTTTTGGGCAACACTTCTTTCAGGTGCTAATCCTCAGGATTTATCCCTTCCCCTTTCATGTAAAAATATCTTCCCATCGCTTTAACTCACCCCAAAGGAATCTGCATCTCTGAATACTAATCAGGAATCCCCAAAGCCATTTTTCTTCTGGCAGAGGGGTACCAGGCTGGGGAGGCAGCGCACACCGCCCCTTATTCATGTATGCAAATGAGCCTTCCGGTCTGGTCGCCAAGCGGGCGCCTCTGCCCGGCTTCGTGCTGTAGGTGGCAGAACTAACTCAGACAAAAGCCTCCTTCTCAGGCAGCAAGCCAGTGCATCTTGGCAACAGCAGAAGCCTGAGGCCTTATGGAATAAGATCAAGAAGATGGTTCATTGAGTAGGTTGCCGCAGTCACTCGCTAAATCCTTCTGGAGCCAGGATTCCTGTTATCCT